AGTAGTAGTAGTAGTAGTAGTAGTAGTAGAGTAGAGAGAGAGAGAGAGAGAGAGAGAGAGAGAGAGAGAATTTTTCTGAATTATTTGTTCATCAACGCAAGCGGATTTGTTGATGAATTCAACAAAGATGATCTCTTTATTAATTAACATATGAATTAATCAGAGCGTATTAATGCCTTTTACGGATATTTTTTTCGTTTTTGCCGAGCATTACCGTAATTTAGCTCCGGTAATTAGCACGTGCGAAATTAGTGGAACAGCTGCAGCGATCATTATTACATGTCAGAGAAAACGTCTCCCAGTTGCTTCCGCAAGAAATACTGCAATGCAGAAATATTGTTGCCCGCAATGGTTACGCGTATCACTGAAAATCGTAATTAATTTAATATCCCAGGCGACAATAATTTTCAATTAAGATTGGCTCCTACCTAACGGCGATAGATTGGAATTAATCCGTAATCAAAAAAATGCAACGCGTAGCCGATATAGCGATGCAGTGGTGATAACATTAGGTAGAGAAGATTATAAGACAGAGTAGGCGAGGCTAAAGCGAAATCTTCACCATCACAAAGCCCGATCTCGTCCTCTCTGAGAGAGAGAGATATATATATGTATACATATATATATATATATATATGCTAATCGCGATGCATCCGTAGTCACGTAGTTATAGCCGCTCGTCTAAACCGAGCTGTATTATCGAGCAATCAATCGTTAGCAGCAATCCTCGTTAGCAGCTTGATCGATGATCGGTCGCTTTAATTAGAAGACTGTTTGCTCGATACGCGCGCTAAAAATTTTCCTTCGGCGAAACGCTCAATTCCCGCCGCTTACCCTCTAGTCGTGATATCGGAAAAATTTAACGGGAAACAGTCGTCTGAACGTACAATTGATCCCACAAAGGGAATTCTTAAGTTGTCACATAGAGATTCGCTGGTAATCGTCTGCGACGCGTTTCGTTTCACGGGATGCCGACTGCAAAAAGCGGGGCAGCACGCGATTTTCATCGGATTACAAAAGAATGGTTAAATACACATGTCGCGTTGAAATTCCGTTCCGCGGAACGTTTTTCTTTCTTTTTTTTTTTTTATGAGCTTCAACGCTCCACGAGTTACAATATTTCGTGAACGGAGTAATCTCTTCCTCCGGGAACGTCTCGCGGCGGAAGAACTATTTTAGAGAGGGATAATCGCGGGGTAAAGATAATTTTGCGGGACGAGAGAAGCAGAAAGGATGAGATCGTGGCTGTTGGCACAGCTCATATGAAAGAGAGTCTCGTCGGAGTTTAGGTCAGTCTTCGGGGTCGACGAAAAGGCGCATTTGGGTCACATGATGGCGGTGGAGCAATCGGTTTTGGACGGTACCAGCAAGTGGTCGGCGAAGATCGCTATTACAGGTTTGTGGCCAGCCCGTGCTCGCCGGTTCCTAAACTGGTCTTGTGCACTCTCCGTACCCCCCCCCCATGCGACGAGCGTGTCATCAGTATGGTGTCCGTCCCGATACATGATACTTACATATGTGTGCTGCGTATGCCTTGATATATATATACCTTGATCTGTACAGTGCGAGTCGTCGTTGTCTCCAAGTACCCGTTATATATAATGCGTGTCCGCACAAGATTGATTCTTCTTACTTATTGTTATTATTATTATTATTACACTTAGATCTGAGGGTAAATAACTGGCTCTTGGTGGCTGCCGCGCGTGTGGCTGTGTTGTATTGATTGCTATTAACATACCTATATATCGAGCAACAACTTACCTTACATGTAATTCCCGTATGTAATTATGAGGCCGGTTCGACCATCGTGCGATGATAGATAAGAGAAAGTTCTCACGTCGGGGCTGCAAATTGCGATCTAAACTCGTTTTTATTCTTAGCACTCGGCTCCTATTTTCCTTTAATTTCTTCGACAACTCGGATGTATCGCGTACGTTTACGTACACTCACGATGGACGAACTATCTTCGTTCCCTCCTTCGAAATACATTCCTTGACTTACATATCCCCTTAACTTACCTCCCTCTCCCCGCTCTCAACCAATGCAGACTATCGTGTATGTGTGCGCGTATACGCTACGCTGCTGTTTTACGTGTATGTGCTGACGTTTTTATGATCTTACATTTGTCCGCTGGATGGAGAACAATACCGCGCGCTAATCGTTGCGTACAACACCATTTAATCGGACACTCGCCTCCCCATCGGTGTGTTTCCTTCTTTTCTCTCCTCCCCTCTCAATGGTACTTCCTCTTCGCTCCAATTTCACGCCAATTCGCAGCTGCCGCCATGGCAAGCCCGTCCCGAACGAGATCGGCGAAATCGAGTTTGCAGACAGTTCCCTCCTCCGTTCACCTCCCGGCGCTCAACGCGCTATTTGCAATAGCCTCTTTTCCAGGGAAACAGTTGGAGTGTTTCGTGTTTTACCGGCGAAATGAAATCTCGCTCGCAGTCCGCTCGGGCGAATTCCTCCGGGAGCAACACCTCAATTACCACCCGTTCGGGCGAGGTAGTTTCCTCCGGAAGTCCTCGGGAAACGCATCTGCCTCGGACCACCCGTTACTCCTCATTAACGAAAGTCACGGGAAAAGTCGCGCGAATCGAGTCCGCGCTCTCTCGTCGTTCTCTGTTTGCGTCGACATGAAAGCACATGGGTTTTGCACGGTGAATTATATATATACTTGTACACGTACCGGGTGTCGTGCGATCGTACCCGGTCAGGCATCACGCGATGACTCCTCCGCTCCCCCGGGGGAGCGGAGGAGACATTCAATCGAAAGTCCATTAGGGTCACGTGGCAACTTGTTGTGGCGGCAAGTATGTGCCGTTGCCATTGTCTAAAGCAAACTCCGGCCCGGCTATAGCTGCCGAGCTTCCATGAACGCGAGTCCCTGACCGATAGGCCAATACCACAGCGTCGTCCATCGAAAGCAATCTACCAACCACCTGTAATCTTCGGCATATCGGGGGCGCGTTCTCCTTCCCGTTGCATTCTGCCGTGAGATGAGAACGTTAGTCGCATCGATCATCCCTTCGATCGAACGCCGTCAGCTTGGCTCCTGGTTCTACCTACGGCAGAAATAGGTCTCGCGTGTCGAAGATAAGGAAAATAAATTCATCTCGATGGAGCATCGGTTTAGGTCAACGGTTGGCGTTTAACGCGCTTTAATACATAGGGGACATAGAGACATGGTCGAGGAACGATACGGCCTCCCTCTCCCTCCTCCCTCGAGACGTTTCATTTTGAGAGGTAAATTAGTTTGTGAATTATAGACGGTGAAGTTTGTCAGGCATGCAGAAGAAGAGTGAGTCGATACATCTTGTGAAACTAAACACATTTTCTTTGTTGGAAAGTGGCTTTATAAAATTACTGTTGAAGAAACAATCAGGTTAGTTTGTGTCGTTTATTCACTTGTCGTAAGCAAGGCATGCTCCACGTGTGGCGCATATTGATCTTGTTCCCACGGATTATTACCACGCGAGAGATGTACCGCTAGGAAACTCGTGCGCGAAAGAAATACGCGACATCGAAGGGGGAAAAAAGTGTTCTGGCCGAAACACACATTTCGCATGACTTCTACCTTCATTGTTACTCGCCGCCTGTATTTCGCGTGGTGACACGTCCCCAGGGCCATTGTGATTCCGAATCAAAGGGAAGATGAAACCTTTCTTCTTCCAATTGTTATCCCACGTCGGCAGGGATAATAGAAACGTAAATACATACAGCTTTTATAGTTATATTCGGTATAGTTTAGCGAAGAATAATTCAACGGCGATTGATCGATGTTCGCCAACTTGAAAGAGAATTTCATTCTTTCTTACTTTCAATATACCAGAACATTTGCTCCTGAGAAAATTAAGTTACCTTAGACTTCACTAAATTATTTATAATACGATTACATACTTACATTCCAATTTCGTAACTTTTATAAACTTTTAACTCGATACAGACACCTCTCACGAATAATGGATATTTGTAATTACTCTTCGATCGAAAGAAAAAGAAATTAGATTCTCCCGACGGACAGGCAGAAATTTGAAAACCAAATAACCGATCATTGTGTCTGATCAAACCTGTTCGTATCGTCCTTGGGGAAATGATTATTACCATAACTGAGAGATCAATGGAAGTCTCGTGTTGGCGATGGGCCATGCGAGTCGAGCAACAAGTTTTCTTGTTCCAGACTGACGCGCCCTTATCAAACACTTTCCCCTGTAAAACAGCGTTAATTCTGCAATGGTAAGGGATTAACAGGTGGTATGGCAACGTGCTCGTTATCCCGCATCCGTGCAATGCTCGCAGTGATCGATTGGCCTTTCTTGTGCATACCCCCTCCCACCCTCTCCCGTGCACTTCGGACGAAACTTTAAGAACTTAGATATGGCATTCTGTTGTACATCTTGGTCGACGCGATTCTCGCTCTCCTGAAACTTCGCCCCATCTATTATTCTTCCACATGTCAATCCCGTCGCTCCTTTTCGATGTAAATAAAATCAATCTCGCTCTTGCTTCTGGTAGAGTTATAATTCGAATAGGGTGTCAATCCCGTCTGTCCGATCGGGGGGCATCTGCATTTATATTCATCCGTCAAATTCCGTACACTCGAACCGCGCAAAATTCGCAAAGGTCACATTGAGGGATTACAGGGTGGAACTCTGGATCAGCGGACCTAGCTAATCCATCTCGTATTGAGATGATGGATTTAAAACATACGTTTCGCTTCGCTTTCACGTATGAGATACACACATACACACGTAAAAGAGGCGGCGAAATACACACAAGCTAATCCCGGAAAAATACCTTAGTGTCCTGGCTGCGCCATTGTAATGTCCCGCTAGCATAGCTGAGCTGCTGAATATGGCCGTCGTTGATGCTGCTGCTGCTGCTGCTGCTGCTGTTGCCGCTGTTGTTGGATGATATTGGATGGTTAAGGACGATTTTCCGCCTCGCGACAATCCCGCGTCCTTCGGTGGCCTCCGTAAGACGTACGCCTCCCGATTGCCTTGAGGATATACCGGCTTTGAGGAATCTCTAAGAGTGCGAAATGACGATGAGAGGAGAAGGGTACGAGAGGTTGTCGAAGGACGATCCGATGACGAGGACATTGTCTTCTTTTCAGCACAACGTTTTCAGTCGACCCGGATACGCACATAGACAGCCTCGAGCAGGCCGAGCAGATCGTCCTTGAGGGTACCAGCAAGTGGTCCTGCAAGATCGCCATCACAGGTGACACGATACTGATACCTTTAGAGCGTTTTAATGATCATTCACCACAATCTCAATAACGAGTCACTCAGTTCTGTATACCACGTATACATACACGCTTGAATATAAATACCCACACGGTTACACGAAAACTCGTTAAAATTCTGAGAACGACTGCAAAGATCGCTCGTTTCACTTTATACCTCGTAAGGCGATACTCTCTTCTGCTGCGAATCACGAGGGCAAAGTTTCTGAATCACCGAGGTACAGGCTGCATCACGACCGCCGTAATTTCTGTCGCTTACAGATTCTCCGATGAGTTTGAAACTTCGGCGCACTCGCGGACTACAAATTCATCTGACAATCCGTAATCAAGAGCAGAAGCGGCGGATTATGTATCTCGTGCGCGCGCGCGCGCGCGCATCGATGAGCACGCCGCGAGTCTCACAGATCTCGATTTTTCAATCACCGTGTTCTCGTGTCGCACGGCGCACGATTCAAAGCAAACACGAAAAAGATCTATATCACAGAGCACCATCGGGGGCTGATAATCAACGGCGCGTGATATACGAGGCGCACTTTGCGTTGTGCCGCGTACTCCGCAGTCAAGTTCTCGCATTCCAATTGCACCACCGGGGCATGCACATTGTACGATCGATGTACTTCGTCGGGCACGAAGTCAAACCTCCAGGATCGATCGAGCGACGTATCCCGCTCGACTCCGTCATTCGTTCGTGCGCAAAGTTTCGAAATATATTAAAGTTCAACGATATATACATATATATATACATAGGAATGCGAGACGAGAATAGCAATATATATATATATATATA